TAGCTGCTTGCACTTTTTCTGGTTCAAGTTCATTCCACTTATTTACCACTCTGGCTGGCTTGGAGCACTTAGTTATATGTCTCAGGCTCACCTCTCTTTTCAACTTTCTCTTTTAACGCCTCGCTCTCTTGACCTTCATTCGGAAAAAGAGAGTTTCCATGCATTTTGACTATTCTCTTTTAGTACCTAGTACGTTGCGATCACTTCTTTTCTTTCCCTTTTTTCTTTAAATGTTATTAGACTGAGTTTTTTTAGCTAGTTCTTATAGTTCGTGTTTCTTCTTGTTGCTAATTGTTAAGTATCATATCTTTATTTGAAGCTATACTACATCTTTCTATACTTTCTTGTATTTTCTATACTTTCTTGTTTTGTTTCCCAGTAGTGGATCCTATGCTGTCTCATCATATCAAATTAACGACTGGGCTATCGTTTACTGTGTATTATATTGTGTTGCTATTGCTATCTTATCTACTAAACATATTATATCTATCTACTATATGTATTATTTATCTTGATATCTATTATCTATTATTATCGTATCTATTATATTATCTTGTTTAGGGTCCTGAAGGTAATCCTTATACTTGCAAATGTGTCATCTGTAGTTGTGTATACCTATAGTTCTGGCGTTAAGACTGTTATGCCCGAAGACTGTTAAGACTGTTTATGCCCGAAACGCTTTGCGTAATAGTGGCTTTAGGCATTGTATGTACTAGCTCTACCTATAAGTCAAACAATCCTTGTAAATATTTATTGTATGTATGTACCTTACCTAAATAAAATTGTATTGTATTGTATTGTATTGTTATTGTGTCCATTTCCAGATCCCTTTTGTATTATTATTTTATTCCTGTATTATTGTATTCTTGTATTCTTGTATTCTTGTATTCCTGGGACTGTGGGTCTCGGAGACTGTGTTCTCCATCCCACCTCCCGAACCTCGTTATTTTATTTTATTTTAATAAACTAGCAGTGTGTGTGTGCGTGTGTCTGTGTATGTGTATGTGTGTTTTATTTGCTATTTGTATTTCCATTTTATGCCTGCAGGATCGAGCTGGTAGCTCTTGGATCATCGGTTGTCTAATGTACTGACTCGACCAAATTTAAATGGGTCTTTTTCTCTGCAATATCTACTACATTTACAATAGCTATTACATTTACAATAGCTATTACATTTACAATATCTACTACATTTCTCTCTAGCACACACACACATCCTCAATATGCAGCCTGAAACAACGGGCTAACTTTCAGATACCTATTTACTGCTAGGTGAACAGAGGTAGCAGGTTAAAGACATTCTACCCAGTTTTTGCTTCGGCCGGGAGTAGACTGGTCCGTATGTCTACTCAGATCCGTAGACTGAAAATTATGAACGCTGTCCGTTCGGCAAAAGTCTGCATTTACATTAATAATTCGTATTTTCTCTATAAATCTCTCATAACAGGGACTAATGTCATGCCAAGATTATTTTTTAAATGCCATATTTTATTGTGTTAGATCTCCCTCGTTGTTGCTCTATTTTGTAAATGCGTTTTCATTTACAAAAAAAATAGTAATCGCTAGTGCTGAGTTGTCTTCAAAGCTAATATTTTAACATGTACATTATTTAAACCCATGTATAGTCAACCGAATTGCATGATAACTTTATTTGTTAATAAAATATGTTATTTCATCAAGCAAATTTCTTCGACACGAGATACAAAGTAGTTGATGCTTTTTAATATGGGGAAATTTAGCAGTTGAATCGATGGTCGAATTGAAAACAGCCGAGGTCATATTTACAGGGTGCTGATATCGTTGGAACGGATATCTGATATCGAGATAACAGACAATAAATATCGTGGTTACAGATAGCTGATTATTTAGTTACAGACAACTGATATCGTTGCAGAAGACAGCTGATATAGTGAACGCAAACCTCTGATGTTATAGTGACATCCAATTGATATCCTTTTAAGTGACATGATTTCAACGGTTGAAAACAGCTATTAACATTGTTACAAACATCATCTGATATCGATATAATTGATTGGCGAAAGAATCAGAGTGTGTGTTGACCTAAACTTGACAAGGTTAAAAACCATTTTCACCGATACATCACGCCACTATAACATAACACTGCTATCACACATAACACACACAGAAGATTACATTCACATGACCTATAAAGACAAGCCGTAGGCTCAGTTACTAATATGAAAAGGGAAACACAAATTGGCCCAAGATTTCTGAAGATCAAATCTACTCAGAAAACCAACAAATTTTTGTTTATAGTTGTCAAGTGGTCTCAGAGAAAACTGATTAATAGTTCTTCCGAAAATATTGTCTAAAAGCAGCTGGTCAGAGGCGGTGCCAATTAAGCTCAATCCTCAAATTACAAGATGATTAAAAATTAATGCAGCTCGGAGGAGTTATAGCCCGTTCAGAGGTGCCCATGGGAGAAGAGTTGATAAATATGGAGGGGAGGTAGGGGAGAGGGAGGGAGAGAGAGAGAGAGAGAGAGAGAGAGAGAGAGAGAGAGAGAGAGAGAGAGAGAGAGAGAAAGAGAGAGAGAGAGAGAGAGACAATACTGTCCATAATATCAACAAGATATGTCATTTTGATATCACTGACGTCATCAAGACATTATTTACTGTTATTTGACATTCGTAATATCAACATCACGTCGTTGATATCAACATGACGTCATTGACGTCAGCAATATATATAATTATACATTATATATATATATATATATATATATATATATATATATATATATATATATATATATATATATATATATATATATATATATATATATATATATATATATATATATATATATATATAATTGAAAAAAGGAAACAAGAAATGACCCGAGTGCCATCGTGTTAATCAAGTATGTATGAACTCTTGTATATATACATAAACAAAAAATAACGAAAAATCCACATGTGTTGATAACAGGATAGCGCTCAGGTCGTTTATTGCTTCAGGTTATCCTATGTGGTTAAATATTTCTATAATATTTATCACATATTAATTTCTTCGTCATTTACATACAACTATGGCATTGCCCGGGTGTGTCTGTTTGTCTCTCATCTGTTCATCTGCCTATTTATCTATCTATCTGTCTATTTATCTGGATACTCATCCATCCTATTTGTCCATCTATCTATTCATATATTCACCCATCTACCCATCTATCCACCCATCTCCCCATCTACCCATCTATCCATACAGCTACTCACCAATCCAAGCATAAATCCACATATCTATCCATCTATATAATTTCGTCTATCCTTCCATTCATATATCTATCCATCGGCCTACCCATCTATCCATACATCTATAATCCAAAATAAAATCGTCTTGGGGGGTCTGAATATAACTATGGAACCCAGAGAATGGAATTATGACATTAACACTAGAGTGTCTATTCGCTTCATGAGGAGAGGAGGGGATAAGCTCTTTCAGAGCTTTCAGAATGGCTTATGTGACGTACACACTTCCAGGAAACGGAGGGAGACATACTACACGTATGTAACTCGACACTATATGATAATATATGATAATCCTCTTTGTACCTTATAGATAACTCCTTTATATATATATATATATATATATATATATATATATATATATATATATATATATATGAATGTGAAAGCTCCAGACCCCAGAATTGACTCGAAACCAGACCGCCAGGAGTACAATGACACTGGTGTACATGGTACCTTAAGCCACTCGACCATCTGTGACCGTACAAAAGACGATGATAGCCGAGGCTATTTGAACCACCGTCAAGACAGCACTTTGATGGTAATCTTGGGCATAGTTATTCCATCAAATCACTTAAATTTATGGGGCCACGTGAGCAACACAAATGCGAACAGTCTTGAATGGTCCCCAAGCATATATGCGAATGAAAACTCCACAGCCCAGAAGTGACTAGAACCCAGACCGCCAGGAGCACAATTCAACTGGTGTACATGGTACCTTAAACCATTCAAGCTTGCTCGCATATAATATGTATATGAATATGTATATATGTATATGCTTAAGGCACAACTCTCCTAAACACAAGAGTGAAGTATACAATTTTCACTCTCTCTAAACACGAGAGTGAAGTATTTGTATACTTCACTCTCGTGTTTAGGAGAGTTGTGCCTTAAGCATAGACACTGTGTCTTCCCATATTAACAGGGACTTGATGAAATAAACGTATAAATGACCCCTCACTTGCTCTAGTGCTCTTGGGAGGTGGTGATCTTTGGTGTATTTAAATACTCCGAAATTACCATCTCTTTTAAGGGTCTGAGCAGGTGGTGGAGCGGGTTAAGGCGTACCTGTTATGCCAGTTGCTGGAAGGCTTCTGTGCTGGCTAGGGTTCGAGTCTCCTGGTGGGAAAGTGTTCTAAAGTTGTATATGTATATATATATATATATATATATATATATATATATATATATATATATATATATATATATATATATATATATTATATAGATAGATAGATAGATAGATAGTATATTTTTTCAGATTACTGAACGGGGTTAGTATCAGGAAGGTGACTGGTGCATACTTACTTGTGCAATAGAAATAGCATAAATTACAAAACAGGTTAATACAAACTGTCATTCAATATAATATAAGTATACTTACGCTGCTATTGATGACTTACGGGCTATTCATGCCCATGCCACCTTTTGGGTGGCTTAATCTTTATCATCTATTGATGACTTCAATATATAGAAGAAGTATGGTTACATTTTATGACAACCAAAGAAACTACCAAAATATTGCGTGCAAGGAAAATAAGTATAATAATAAGATAAAATAAGAACAAATGTAGCATGTAATGAGACCAAGTTTAAAAACAACAACAGTTGAGTATAACTCAATACGCAGTTGTCCGTATGAACAGTACACCTTGTGGGCATGCGTGGCGATGAGGCAGGGAGTGGTTGGGCAGTGGGTGTCAGTGGGTGGAGGTCCGTGGCCAGTCCTAGTGGGTTGTGGAGTGTAGCGAGGCGCGGACGGAGGAGCCGTAGTCAACGTTCTCTCTCTCACACTGTCAGTGACTTTACCTCCTGAGCCACGAGGGCTTCAGCTGGCGAGGTGTGCTCAGTTACTGTGCTTCTGAACGTTTATACACTGGTTCAGCCATTCACCTCGTGTAGGACGGATGGTACATACAGAACGTCGGGGAAATTCAGGCACAGTTTTATTAAAACATCGAGGAAACTTTTGAACAAAGATGGAAAAATAGTGATTATCTTACCCGATTCTGCAGTGAAGTAGGTGGAAAGGTAGCTTGGTACGACAATAAATCTTCGAAAACTTGCAACACACGCAACCGTAGTATCAGTATAAAATTTGTTTGCAAGTCCAGTGCCTCAGTGGAGAGTTGCACAACACATCCATAGACACGTTAGTAATCTCTCACTCTACAGCAATAGGCTGAGTAACGACCCCCCCTCGCTAAACAACCATCGCCTAACAGGCAAGCCCCTACGTTCAGCCATAGTCTCGGTGCAAAACTTTCACAATGAAGCCATATCATCAGGCACAAGTCCTACAAGACAACAACACAAGATGTATACAACTTTCAGCAACAGGATGAATTTTCATTTTCACCAAAAATCGAAAAGTTGTATCTTTTTCTTGTTGGAACCTATTCTATTGACTCTTGCTTGTTGCTTGTGTCAACAATAACAACGACAATGACTGAACGCAAGATTTCGAGTCGGTCTTTAACTGCTTATATAAGAGGACATTGAGTTACCAAAGGTAAGAAAGGCTTTATTTTTAATTTCCTTAGTTTGTAAGATAAGTAAAATAATATTGATCGAAGATATGTGTATTCTACATATAATGAAAATATGCAAATAATAAATACGTTGATTTCAATGAAAAAATTATTCACTAAGGCATATATATATAATAAATATTGAAATTATTACTTATTATGACAGCTAGACTCATCAAAATCTAATAAAATTTGCATGTTGTCATTCCAGCCTTCTCTTCCATTCAGGAATAATTCAAAGAAATGCATTTTAAATAATGGACGGATTTGAAGGATATACATGGATCAATACCTGTCTTTCTGAAGCACAAACACGTGCCCAAGTTTTTTTAATTATGCAAATTACTCGTTAATATGGAAGCGAACAACTTTCTGAAGTTTAATAAGGTCTAGTCAATTTTCTTAACTCTCGTAATTCTTAATTGCTTAAAATTTGCTAGGCTTAGTTCAGAGATATTTTTTTCTCTGCAAACGCGAGCGAGCGAGCGCGCGCGCACACACACACACACACACACACACACACACACACACACACACACACACACACACACACACACACACACACACACACAAAGTTAGAGAAGATTCAGCGGTATGCCACCAGGCTCGTCCCGGAACTGAGAGGATTGAGCTACGAGGAAAGGCTAAAGGAGCTGAACCTCACATCCCTGGAAAACAGAAGAGTAAGGGGAGACATGATAACCACCTACAAAATTCTCAGGGGAATTGACAGGGTGGACAAAGACAAACTCTTCAGCACGGGTGGGACACGAACAAGGGGACACAGGTGGAAACTTAGTACCCAGATGAGCCACAGAGACGTTAGAAAGAATTTTTTCAGTGTCAGAGTAGTTAATAAATGGAATGCACTAGGAAGTGATGTGGTGGAGGCTGACTCCATACACAGTTTCAAATGTAGATATGATAGAGCCCAGTAGGCTCAGGAATCTGTACACCAGTTGATTGACAGGTGAGAGGCGGGACCAAAGAGCCAAAGCTCAACCCCCGCAAGCACAATTAGGTGAGTACAATTAGGTGAGCACGCACACACACACACACACACACACACACACACACACACACACACACACACACACACACACACACACACACACACACACACACACACACACACACACACACACACACATACCCACACGCACTAGGAGACACAGGTGGAAACTGAGTGCCCAAATGAGCCACAGAGATATTAGAAAGAACTTTTTTAGTGTCAGAGTGGTTAACAAATGAATGCATTAGGAAGTAATGTGGTGGAGGCTGACTCCATACACAGTTTCATGTGTAGATATGATAGAGCCCAATAGGCTCAGGAACCTGTACACCTGTTGATTGACGGTTGAGAGGCGGGACCAAAGAGCCAGATCTCAACCCCCGTAAGCTCAACTAGGTGAGTACAACTAGGTGAGTACACACATACACACATACACACACACACATATACTCACAGATGTACGCATCTGTACATCAGTTGATTGACGGTTGAGAGGCGGGACCAAAGAGGCAGAGCTCAACCCCCGCAAGCACAAGTAGGTGAGTAGAACTAAGTGAGTACAGACCGTGGGGGCCTCGCGGCTGAGTGGAAAGCGCTCTGAGATCGTAGTCCTAAGGGTCCGGGTTCGATCCCCAGCGGAGGCGGAAACAAATGGGCAGTTTCATTCACACTGGTGTACTGTTCACCTAGCAGTAAATAGGCATTTGAGAGTTAGACAGCTGCTTCGGGATGCTTCCTTTGTGATGTGTGTGTATGTCAGAGAGAAATCAGCAGTCTCCAATCAGCAGTTTAGCAGTCTCCGTGGTGTAGTGGTAAGACACTCGCCTGGCGTTCCGCGAGAGCTATGTCATGGGTTCGTATCCTGGCCGGGGAGGATTTACTGGGCGCAATTCCTTAACTGTAGCCTCTGTTTAACGCAACAGTAAAATGTGTACTTGGATGAAAAAACGATTCTTCGCGGCAGGGGATCGTATTCCAGGGACCTGCCCGAAACGCTACGCGTACTAGTGGCTGTACAAGAATGTAACAACTCTTGTATATATCTCAAAAAAAAATAAATAAAAAATATATGTAGTAGACATAATAGAGGTAAAATATGTTTTTTTAAATAAAAAACACAATCGAGTAAGTACAATAGATGAATGTACACACACAAACACATGCATCCACACTTCAAAACTGTACAGTACAGCAGCAAAAGCAGACAAGTCCTTTACTAGGCAACACAGGCAAGGAAATAGAGAAATTTTAGGATTTACTACAAAACATATGTCAATAAAGCAGAATCTAAAATAAGATAGCAGGTTCAGGAAACCAACCCTAACCACACCTGGAGAGACCCAGTGTAAATTTGACCTCAACGAACGTGTTCCTGAGAAAGAGCAATTGAATTAGAGATGTAAGATTAAGGATCACGAGAAAGTGAAACGAAAAAGTCAGAATCAATAATTCATTAGAAAGAATGGAGTAATAACACGTTCATTGATGGCTCAGAGGCGGAGCCCATGAGCAAAACCTCCTTTCCTGGCAGACTTTGAGAAAAAAATAATCTCGATAAACATACGTTGGAAAATATATAATATTCATCATATACTTGGAAATTACTTCACTATCACAGCCCTGATCCTATAATCACGAAGACGTATTCAAGCGCGTAGGAGCGGTTACTGCAGACAATGATCTTCAACACAAAGGGGGCCTCGTAGCCTGGTGGATAGCGCGCAGGACTCGTAATTCTGTGGCGCGGGTTCGATTCCCGCACGAGGCAGAAACATATGGGCAAAGTTTCTTTCACCCTGAATCAGCCCCTGTTACCTAGCAGTAAATAGGTACCTGGGAGTTAGTCAGCTGTCACGGGCTGCTTCCTGGGGGTGGAGGCCTGGTCGAGGACCGGGCCGCGGGGACACTAAAAAGCCCCGAAATCATCTCAAGATAACCTCAAGATAACACAATTTAAAGTTATACACACTGAAGGTAATACACAAATCTTACAGGTTTTTCATATATTTTATTCATGATAATTTAACACTTTAAGATACATTCCAATTTGTCTTGAGAACAGAAGAATGCGAGAAACTGCACAATGTCTATTGGCTCATACAAGGCAGCACCCATTTACATCTGAAAATAAAAACAAAAATTTAATACAAAAATATTTACAAAATATTGTATTTGCTTTATTTTGTACATTTACATGGGGGAAGTATCCATTCCCTTTGGGAGTATTCTTTTCCCGTGGGGATATCCTATCCCACCTGCTATGTGAAAGGGACTTGAGACCAACAAATGGCTTTCCTCGAAATGATTTATAGACAGAAAACGCAATTCGGATAAATTAATTCGTTAAAAACATTATTATACCAATTCCTACTGTGATCTTTACCTATATTACTATCCGATCCGTTTGTGTTATCTGTTCTCGCTGTAAAATTAATGTAAGATAATTCGTAACGAGAAAAGTCAAATAACGGGGAACAAATAGAGGACAACATTACGAGGTAGGTTTTTTTGCAATGAAATTGATGAGTCAGTTTCACAACATTCTAAACTAAACCAGTGCAAAAAAATCGCCATATAGGACTTTACATCAGCTGGTGTTGTTATTGTAGGTCTGGGTCAATAGAAAGTAAAATATACAATGAATCTAGCAGAGAGAGAGAGAGAGAGAGAGAGAGAGAGAGAGAGAGAGAGAGAGAGAGAGAGAGAGAGAGAGAGAGAGAGAGAGAGAGAGAGAGAGAGAGAGAGAGAGAGAGAGAGAGAGAAGGTAAAACTGTAAATTAAAAGTAAGCAAATTAAAACCGAACATAACTAATATCCAAGGTGCAAAGACTGAAGGAATAAAGCACATGAAAATTATTCAAAAGAGAACTAGAGAAATAAAGAAGACATCATTAAGAATAAAGATAGTAACAGTTGAAAAACAATAAATGAGAATAATATAAATGAAGTAGATGAAAAAGAGAATGTGATACTGCAAAGAATATATCGAGAAGAAACTAGAAGATCCAATAAAAAGAGAGAAACTATAAAACATAAAAATGACAATAAACCATGGGGTAAATTATATTTACTTGAGGAAGATATAAGATAATAAAAGAGGGTTAGAGGAGTGAGAGAATTTAGCTGTAAGTGCCCATCTATCGCTAGTATTGATCTCAGGAGCTGCCTTTATTGTGCCTCTCAAAGACTTTCGTGAGAGTATCATCAGTCTGTGTGTGTGTGTGTGTGGGGGGGGGGGGGGGTACTTATTATCTGTACTCAAATATTTTGTGTCATATTTGCAATGAACTACTTGTACTTTCCTGTTAATAATCGTCTTTTTGTACTCGCCTACTATTTCTAGTCACCTATTTGTTCTCGCTTATATTTAACTCCTGTTTGCATTCTTCTTTTTGTATTCAACTATTTTTACTATCCTATTAATAGTCACCAAGTTTTATTCTTCTATTTGTGCTCACCTATTTTTATTATCCTATTTATAATCACCTGTATTTACTCACCTATTTGTGTCTGCAGGGTCGGGCATCAGCTCTTAGACCCCGTCAATCCTAATGTAATGGCTGTCGACCCCTTTTTTCATTATCTGAAAAAATGCCTCATACTGACAATTACACAGAGTTAGAGAGTTAATGTAATTAGCCAAACTTTGCTGAATTATTATTGACGGAAAAACCTGAATTGGTTCGATATTATCGCATCATTCGGATTCCTGTAGATTGGCTTTTTCAGTGACGGGTGACGTTACTTGTTGCGTTATTCATCTAGTGACTCCTTCAGTAACACTGAATGGTATTTATAAAGCCAGAACTCACCAAACACAACACCATCAAAAGAATCACAAACCTTCAACACAAACACAACAATTCCATCAGAAACACAACCACATCAACAGGAACACAGAGCATCAACAGAAACACAACCACATCAACAGGAACACAGAGCATCAACAGAAACACAACTCTCCAATCA